ATAGATGCCGTCTCCGTAATTACTAATCGCTCAGTGGTTGACGCCAAAGCTGACTGTAAACTAGATACCTGTGACTGAAGACTTTGGACAGCACTTTTTACGTTGTCCACGTCCTGGCATGTGAACTGTAATGAATTCTCAAAATCTGTACACCTGTTTTCAACAACGGCCACTCGTTCTGAAATTGTCTTTTGTTCCTTTAAAATGGATGACGTAGTGGCAGTAATGCCAGAAACTTCTTTCTCCAATTCACATAAACACGACTTCATTAGGGACTTCATATTGGCAAGAGAAAGATTACTCACGGTTTGATGTTCATCCCCTGTTACAGGTATATCAGGCAGAATGTCATTGTTACCATGAACATCTTGAAAATAGCATGACGTTGTTTGTAGCAGATTTGCCCTTCTTTTTATCACGACGCGGACGATCCCCCATTTCTGCGTACTGTTAGGTAAAGCACTAAGTTACAAGCTATAAAGTTAGTTCATTGAAAATATTGTAGAACAGAGAGTTCGCGGCGACAAGCTAACGTGGCACACCTGTTGCGAGCATGCGCACAATTCAGGAAAAGGTAGGCTTTTGCTTAGGGTATCTCTTCAGAGCTGGTTTCTTTGCCCAAGAAGTAGAAGATAATGAAGTCGGACGAGTAGAAGTATTCTTGCTAGTCACCATGTTGTCAATTTCACTTGAATTGAGAATGTCAGTGTCAGAAAAATCAGTTTTTTAGACAGTGTATGCGGGTGAAAAACCAACTGATTTGCTTACTATTCATGATGTAGCTTGTGTCTCTCTGCTGTCCAAACCACTCCTCCATGTGTGGTTGTTTAATTTTGAAGGCCTGGGACAGTTTATTTAACTTGATGCAGACACAAAACGGCATGCTTGTATTGAGAATGAATTTAACAATAAGTTCTTGATAAAAAGCATTTATTATTTTTACAAAATCTGTATAAAGAGAGTGTACACAAACTGAGAATGGATGCACAAATAAATATCTAAAAAATTATAGGAAATTGACAAAACAAGAATTTAGAATTAATATTTCTACCAATTTATCCCTATAAAGCACCAATTAATAATCTAACATTTCTTAATATATTTGTACATGCAAGGATTCTGCAAAAAAAATCAATGCAACTGAAAATGAATTAATTTAATCACAGCATTCATCATTCAAAATTGATTACATGCATAGAGATAATGCAATGTCATTTGTGCAACTACGCACATCAGGGGAAAACTGATGATATAGACATGTTTGTTCTAATGTAAAAACTGCAGATAATGATACATATGTTTATAATGATAAAACCATAAAATCCAACCTCCCAAATCCCTGGTCTACAAGTATGTTGTATTATGGTTAAAGCCACAAGTGAATTAATTTTATACAATTTAAAATATATTACACATTATATAAAGTCAACTAAAGTAAGATATAGTTAATGGACGGTTCACCTTATGCAACACTTGTTTATACATGAAAAGAGGGATGTTCAGGTCGGCCGTGATAACATTTGGGATGAGGAGAATTGTTTTGTGAACAGATACTGCAGGCAGTACCATTTTTACTCAACATTTATTTTGTCTTTCAAGAGATAAAAATGAGCCAAAATTAAACCATGTTTGTGAGGTATTAATAAATTAGGTCTGATTAATGCCTGCAAAAATCATTATGCAAATATTTTTACTTCAAAGCAACACTGTTGTCATAGTTACACATGTGCTCAAAAGAACGGTCCTACTGATTAACGCACAGGACTGTCCGGACACGTGCGTGCGACGAGGGGGGGGGGGGCAACGGCAGCAATCCTTGTACTTTATAATATTCGTTTATGCTCCAAATTTTAAACAGAGTGGTGAATTCTAGCAGCTATTTAAATATTTTTGCACCAGACAACAGTTCCAGATAAATTGTGTTCACATTTCAAGCGTAGGTACACACATACAATACAGGCAAGCTTAGGGACGACGTCAAAAGATCGATGTCGGATAAAAAACTTAATTCCTTTAGTTTTTTTCCAAACCCCCTACCCCCCACTGAAACTTAATTGATAAATATTGGTCATGGCGTCAGACTACATTCACCATTAAATACAAATTGATAGTCGGACAGTAGTATTGCATAGCAGTTGGTTGTCGGGTGGGTGTAAACAGATTTTACAAATGCACCTCATTTGACGCACAGATTTTTTCCCTTTTCGGTTATTTCTGTCCATGATTGGATAGAACAAAAACGAACAACATTAAAAAATAAAATCGTTTTTGTAGGATGGAAACTTTTTGAGGTCAAAACCCCCCACCCCCAAACTAAAGGAAATAAGTTTTTTATCCGACATCGATCTTTTGACGTCGTCCCTTAGTACAAAACATTAACAAAACCAAAAAGGTCATACTTAGTGCAAAGTTTTTGTTATTATAATGTGATCAGTATATCCACCAATTTTGTGTGTTGTGTTTTATCACAAGACGCATTTGTGTATGAATGAATTGCTGAAAGCGTTTAGAGAACATACGGAGTAAACAATCTGAGATCAGTAGAATGTGCACATATGCAGCTAAGACAATGCTGCTTTAAGTCAATTATAATAGATACATTTACCGGTAATTAACAGTTTTCGATTCAGGTCTTCTTTGTAGAAATATTAATTTGGAAAGTCTAATAACATTATCTGTTTTGAAAGTATCTACCACATCATAAATTTGATTTATCATTTTACTTTGCATTGATTACTTCATATGATTATGTTGTGATAGAAATCTTTGAAAAAAATCAAGGTGTACAGTTCATACTAAGTATGGAATTAAAACGTTTATGGACATGTTTATTGCTATCAAATTATCATACTTCTTCCAAGTAAAAATGAATGTTAATGCATGGAATATAACTTTAAAACTTTGTATTGTTACAAGGAAACAACCACTTCAATAAAATGGCATGGAAAATTAAAATGCATGTAATTTGGACAGATTTTCAATGTTAAATGTATACTGTAGGCGTTTATGATTAAATTTCAACAAATTAATCTATAGGAATCATAATTTTAACTATTCCAAAATCCATTGAATATGATTGGTATACATGTATAATACAATGTCATTTATTCTACAAATTATTTTGAACTAATATATGTTACTCACATGTGTGGTTGCATTTATTTTTCAGACAAAGTCGCAAATTATGTTTTCATTTGTAAACAGTCTGATATATTACGAATGATAAAAAAATTATATATTTCTGTTATTTTGAAGACTCGTGTAAAATTTCATTTCACAATCTCTTTTTTTCCACCTTAAAATGTGCAAAAGAATATAACAGCATGATCTTTGGGTAGATACAATTTTAACACTGTTGCTATGCGACTAATCCACTATTCAGTCAGCAAAGTTAGTAGTAAACAAGTGTTAATTCTCACATTAGTATGAAATATTAAAAATTTGTAATACAATTATCCCCTGATATGTATGGACCTTAAAATTACACATTATTTAAATTTCATAAGTGCAACTTTGTCTGGAAAATCACCTATTTTCAAAGTCCTTATAGGCTCTAACAGAAGCACATCTTAATTTATGCTAATTATTAACAGGTTATTCATGTATTTAAGAGCATGTACTATTAGCAGACCATATGGTCGGCAATATACACTAAAACACTAAATAAAGTTACCTGGATATTTAAAACAATTCATTTCATTTTTCAGGCATGCAATAAATACAAACTGAATTTACAAATATTAAATGGCATGAATAATTACAATTAATTTTTCTGTCTGACTACACTTTCTTCTGTCATCATACTCTCCTTCTGTGTGGATAAATAGACTATTCACAAAGTATTCAAGTCAATAAAACATTCAATTATGTTCTGAATACATTCTTCAGAATGCCAAAATTCTTTCTACAAAAAATTGGTGCAGCATTTGTATGTATTTTTCTCTAATTTCTGTATTAATTTTCATATTATTTCTCACGAGCTACTGGTCAAATTTTTGACAAAATCTGGAAAAAAGGTGGGTATGGCATTCAAATGATTAAAAAGTGACTGGGGCAGCAAGCCTAGCCTGGTTGGTAAAATTTGCTACTATCTAAATATGCCAATTTTTCAAACAATGCATAAAACTGATAGTTGCAACAGCGATGAAAGTAGCAGAATTTGCATTAAATCTTGTAAAAAATTTGATTGACACTGGAACAGCACATTTACATGTATTGCGAAAAATGTATCATTCATTATTGGAAACTTTGATTTACATAACTGATACATTTGTTGTTTCCGAATTGCATAACTGATCTATTTCATACTAGCATTTAGCATAATACTTGCATACATATATTATATTTGCTTTATTAGAAGCAGATCTCCAATAAAAGTGTAATGTAGCAAATACGATAAAGGTATCATTGTAGAAAATGCCATCGATATATATACAGAATAATCTAATACATGGCTGATATGTGACACATTACACAGACAAGATCCAATGACATTATTTATACTCATGTTTCAGTTTCAAATAAAAAGACTTGCAATATTTGCTCTAATGGAAACACATCTCCATTAGAAGTACACACGAACCAACAATTGAATTTATTGTACACTCGATCAGTAATATAACTTATTTTCACCATAGACGTTCGTTGGTTATTTACGTAAGAGCAAATATGGTAATTGCAATTTGAATTCTCACCTCACTATGTTACCACATTATGAAGTTTGCCATATTAAAACAAGTTGCATATATTTCACCTCACAAAATGATGATACTCACAGGAAGTCTTGTATGTGTATGTGCCACATATCATGTATTAGTCAATATTACATCCACTCTAAAAATAGATTACATTTTTAAAACTTACTTTATATCATTTCGACTGATTTGCAAATATAATTTTAAGATATAAAATAATGGAATGGATTTAAAAATAGAAATTCTGTCACTACTGACAGTATTACAAAGATGTCCTGGGTTGTTCAAAATCTTCGGTACTGACTGGCCATGGATTTTCATAACTGTTAATTTCAGCCACTGTAGACCTGTAATAATAAAACAATATAATTTGTTATTATATCTCGTATGCACAATCCTCACGTTGATTGGACAGAATGTGTCATGTGACAATAATCAAATCCAGTGACCTCAATTTTGGTGTGA